CGGTTAATTTTTCCAGATATTAAATATAAATGTATGCAGTATATGTAGCAGTACGTAGGTGATCTTTCATTTGGATTGAATAAATTTCAATCATTTCGATTTCCTGGGTGTTATCTACTTCTTCAATATGAAGGCCATTAAATTTTGTGTCGAAAAATTCAACCTATCGAATCGGTTCAAGACTGAGGCCGTATCGTTTAGGATATTTCCTTCTCCATCCATTCAACTTCCCATTCTTAACTTAAACTCTTTTGTCATTTTGTTCAGTTTTCTACAGAACTTTCAAGTTTCCTTTTGATTTTTAGTTGTTCTATGCTTTCTAACTGCTTTTCCTCAAATTGCCTGTTTTTTGTTCTATGTAATGATTTTTTCTTCATTTCTTAGGGTTTGGTATTCCTCCTTTGCTCTTTTTGTGCATTCTGCTCTTAAGATATGCTCTATTTTTGTTGTTTACTGCTTCTTGGCACTCTTTGTCAAACCATTTGCTTTTTTAACAGGTTTGGTTTTCCCCAACATTTCTAATTCCTTTCCCATTTCTGTCTATTTTACTCCCTCCTTGAATATGCCCTTATATTTTGTTGCACAATATTTCATATTTTAGCGCTCTCATTATGTGGCTCAGTTATTTTAATTTTTGTATTTGTATACTGGTGATTCTTTCTGTTTTTTTTTCAACCCTCTCCAGCACATCTTTATTTTTGATTTTGTCAGTCCGTGATATTTTTAATATTCTCCTGTATAACCAGAGCAGAGTTTGAAAGTCTCAATTATTTTTATCTCAATAAGTTATATTTTTTATCGTCCATAGCGCCGTATAATAATATTGAAAATATATTATCTTATCAGCTTATCATGGTAAAAGCGATGGCTGTAGAGAAATTGGAAGGAAGCAGATGTAATGGAACAAACTCAAGAACATGCACAGGAATATTCAGTGCTGAATAACTATTTTGATTAGATGAATATCGTAACAACATACCAATGTAATTACCAACTTTAGGCAGATCTAAAATGGCACTGAAAGAAGATCTTCTTTTCCAAAAACTGCTAAACAATTGTATGTCAATTTTTATCTGAACTCATTTATCATTTATATAACTGCATATTATTGTTTTTTCTTTATTCACAATGAATATTTTACATGAACATTTTGACTATATAAGTAGATTGAGTGAAAAAAAACTCAGCCATACACAGTTTGGTTTTCAGAATACAGTGGGTACACGAGAGGCTCTTTTATCATATAAGTCATATGTCAATTACAATATTTATACATGCTTCATTGATTATCATTATGCATTTGATACAGTAAAGTATGACAAGCTGATGTCTTCTTCTTAGGGTGCCTGTCCGTTCCAAATGTTGGCGATCATTTTTCTATGATGACTTTGTTGGTTGCTATACAGAATAGTTGGGTTGAGGTCTTTCTATACCATGCTCTCAGGTTAGCAAGCCAGGATATTCTTCTTTATCCTGGGGCTCTTTTTCCTTCAATTTTACCTTGTAAAATACATTGAAGTAGATCGTATCTGCCTTGATTTCTCATTATATGTCCCAAGTATTGCAACTTATGGCCCTTCACGATGTTGACCAAATCCACAGTTGTGTTCATCCTCCGCAGTACTTCTTCATTGGTAACTTTGTCTGTCCATGTTATCTTTAAGATCCTTCTGTATGACCATAGCTCAAAAGCCTGAAGTTTTGATAGAGTTTCTGCCAATGATGTAGATATTAACAAATATTGGAATAAACACCTGTGACCTAAGAATTAGCAATCTTTACTGGAATCAAACATTGTCTATCAATACAAAGGCAGGAGCATCTGTTGATAAAAAAATTAAATGTGGGGTTCTACAGGGATGTGTACTCCTGATGTTCAGCATATACTCTGAGTAAATCTTTCAAGAAGTAATAGAGAATGTTGAAGCTAGAATTTAAATTAACAGAGAATGTATTAATAACATCACATGTAGATGACACAGTTGTATTTGCTAACAGTTATGAAGCCCTCCAGGAGTTAATGAATAGGATCACAGAAGTAAGTCATAGATATGGACTTTTACTAAACATTAAGAAAACAAAATGTATGATGATCGCTGAGAAGGAATAGCAATTTGGACAAATAAGTGTGAATGGTAAATGAATAGAAAAAGTTTCCTAAAAAGCAAATGTGGGATAGAGAAAGCAAGGCCTGCATTTCAAAAATAGCTCAACTATTAAAATATCATGACTTATCAATACCCATAAAAATCATGTTACTACTGTATTATATCTTTCCTATACTGTTGTACACAGTTAAGTCGTGGACTCTCACAGATGCAACCTGCAAGAAAATTGAGACTTTTAAAATGTGGTTTTATTGTTGAATCCTGAAGATATTTTATACCAACCAAATAACTAATCAGAACATTTTATTAAGAATGCAAAAAGAAAAAGAGCTGTTAACCACAATAAAAACAGATACAATCGAAAACCTTGGTCACATCATGGAGGACAGCGAAAGATATGAATTGATGCAACTAATTTTACAGGAAAAGTAAAAGGAAAACAATTCCCAGAAAGGTAAAAGATGTAAGTGGTATAAGTATATGTAAGTGGTTCAACACAACAATTAAAAATGTTTTTAAAGCAGCAGGCAGATGTCCTATTACTTTATCTTAGTTCGGTTAATTCTAAGTCCTCTGTACTTGCTTTAGAAATTGAAAAATAAGTTAACAATAATTTAGACTCCTTAATAACTGCATCAAATTTAAGCTTTTTATATTTTTCGCCTAAACCAACAAAAATTTAGCATTTTTGTTATATGTAATGAGTTAACAATTATTGCAAGTATTTGCTTACTGATTACAGTACCCACTCTTTTAATACTACTACTGATCAACATTAGATTAAAGATAACCAGGTAAATTCTTAGCAATAATGACAAGTTAAATGACTCATTAATTATGAATTCACATTAGAGGTTTGATAGTTTTTAATCTAAAAAAATATTAAACTTACCTGCTAAGACTTCTACAGATTGAAAATATTCATCGGGATGGATATATCCTGTTTGAGGTAGTAAAACTAGTAATATCCTAATAATAATTTGCAAAATATATAGAGTATTCCGCTTATCCTTTTTCTTCATCTTACTATGTTTTGTTTACATTTCGGTGTTATTTTTATGTAACATAACCTCTCTAAGCAATGATTAATAGATTGTAATCCAAATTGTCTAAATTAAGGCGTTAATTTAATGTTTGGTGATAAATCCATTGTGTTTTTAATTTAAATATTTATTTCAGTGACTGCATGTCCAAAGTCACATTTTCTTCTTAAAATGTAGTTTGCTCTATTATTTACGCTACCGTATATTCCTCCAGATATCAACTTTTCATATCCAGCACCTTTTTGCTAGAAATCCCTTTTGTCTTATTTGAGCTTTTAGCTAACTTTCGGCTAAAAGCTGGTATTAATTATATTCGCGTAACTTAATTTAAGTGGATCATCATTGTGCTACAGCCCTTAAACGGCCTCGACCTTTTTAAAGTTTCTGTGTTCCATGCTTGGATTTTCCAGCTGGCAACATCGAACAACTGGAACAAGCGAAAGACGGAGAGACCTAGGGAGAATACCATCCCCCGCAAAAAGCGTTGATATAATAATGCCAAGGAACCCAATGACGTATAATATACATATAGACTCGGTGAACGCTTTAAAAAGTGTCCAAAACATGAATACCTTTGTTATTGTTTATTGTTTTGATACGAAGATGCACGAAGTTCATGATTTCTTACGAAGCATCACGAAGTTGATCTTGTGTTTGAAAACATCATGGACGTATGAAAACATTTTCTCCATTTTGTGTGACAAGCAAATTTTATTTTAAATTGTTGAGAGTTATTTACTTACTATTTTAGTAAAATGCCATACTATTTTATCAAAATAATTATTTCTCTTATAGACGGGAACAAAAAGAAATCATAAATATTCAATTTTAATTAAAAAAATAATTATTGTCATTAACATATAAATGAGCACGCCGCTGTTGTGATAAACATACCTTCAACCTTGAGCCGAGATCTTTCGGACACTTGATTCTATAGCGAGAATAGGGGACTGCGTAGTCTATATATTATACGTCATTGAAGGAACCCTATCGAGCAGTCTAAAGCTGCGGTTCATAACGGAGACCATGGCATCGTATCCTCGTCTAGAGCATAGCACTGACGGTGAACGCTGGCATTTATTTTACCGAAAATCGATAAGATGATACCATCCCATGGTCCGAGCGAGGGTCGGCGCCTCGTTATAAACGCACGCTAACATTCACTCTGCGGGTAAACTGTGCTAGCAAGTACAAAACAAAGACTAATAAAATGAAACTCCTATGCAATTTTTTTAAAAAATAGTATCAATATTCCTATATCGCTTCATAAAATGGAACACATAAGGGAAAAAATCTTAGAACCAAACAAATTTTTTGTAATAAGAAAAATTCGATTTTCAAAAAAAAACGCATCCTGGTTCAACTCTAAATTTCCTTTTTTTTTGTTTATCTCATATGAAATTTTCACTACACAAAAAGGCATAAGAGAGAAAATCGTGGATTAACTTCGTATTGAAACCCGACGGTCTATAAGTACTTTCATATGCCGGTATTAAAAATCATTGCCATGATCCAAAATCAGACCATCTGACTGGAAAGGGTTAAAAAAAGTAAACCGAGCATATCTAAATTACTTCGGACACATAGCCAGCAGAACGGGGACTGTAAAACTATTGGAAGTAGAAGTGCCGAAGACCGAGAGAAAGATCTTAACACGATGGGCAAACCAAATGAAGACTGGTGGGAAAGTCCTTACACGAAGCTGTTCATCTGGCACAGGATCGCATCCAATGGAAACAGCAAGCTAATAATATTAAGAATGTCACCACGCCCTGACAAGGGCTCAAGGAATAAGGAGGAGGAGTCATTTTTTTACTTTGATGTTTAGGTGAATATATAATTAAGATAAGTTGTATAAAATAATATTTACTTCAATTTTTTGAAAATAACAAATTGATTCAATATAAATTATTTACAAGTAAAATAATGGAAAAAGATTATTTCTTCTGTGTATGTTCTTATTCATTTAAAATTATTTTATCTCCATATTATTAATGCATTAATTATTACCATGGTATGATCTTAAAGAACAGCTTTCAATAAACCCACCAAGACAAATTATGTAACTGATTCACTTATTAATCGTACAAACTTTATATTATTCATGCTGCATTCTTGATAAGAAACATTTTTCTGGAAATAAATCATTTCAAGTCTTTCCGTAAAGCATTTCTTGAAACAACTATTGGCTTTTTGTACGTATTTTTTCCAAAATGCTTCAAAGCAGATTTTAATGACTTATCATTTCTACAAAGTGTTTTATAATTTTTACAAAATTTTTCTGTAGCTTCTAAAATATCAGAGTTCTGCGTACTTTTTATCCGTTCCAAGATATCATCAAATGTACTTTTTAAATTATTGTACACTTCAACGTTCTTGGAACCATCAGAAGAATTATCTTGAGAAATAAATATTTCTACAACTTCTTCATTCTCAGAGTCATCCACTACAACTTCAATGTTGTGACTATTTTTGCAATGTACAGGTGCTATGAAGTTAGAAATATCTCCACCTGCAACAAAAAATAAACTTAATATAACCATCATATAAACATTGACTTATTCCACAACTCATTTCGATGATAGAAATAAGTAAAATCAAATTGAAATTGTCAAGTCAAATAGAAATGAGCCTAAATGGTATTCCATAACTTTTTTCATCTCTACAATCGAAATCGTAAATAGAAATTGATTTCGACTTAACAGCGTTTATTCTGTCGAAATGACCTTTCGATATCGATATTTGATTTGCTAGAATCCACTGGAAATGTTTAATTAATATTTATTAATGCTTGTATTTTGAGAACAATTTCCGAAGTGGAAATTGAAACGCCAATAAACTTATTTTTACATTTAATTGTGGCTTATTCCCAATATAATAGTGTAGGGGAAGGGCGGGCAAGATGGCATACTTAGTTTATTGTCCATATAACTGAGACATAAATAGAGATAAATCATTCCTGTTGATATATAATGATAGCCAGGTCATTTTTCTACTATTCTAACTAACAAAAAATCTCTCATACAAAGAGATTTATTTAAAAAAAAATCAAAATCAAAATGTAACAAAAAACCATTTTGCCCGCCCAGTGCAAAATGGCATACACATAAACAATAGTGTTAAATACAAAAATAATTATAAATTTTTATTTTTACGAAGACAAAAAATTGAAATTAAACATTTTAGTTCATACAAAGTTCGCAAATAAATTGTTTTGCTTTTTTGGGAAGTCCAGCACATTCTGAATGTGACCAGTTTTGGCAAATTTGGCATCTTAACCATCCTTCATTAGATTTGGACCTACTAAACGTATCATTGCAGTAAATGCAAGTGCAGTCCTCTTGTACATCATCATTAATACTAAAGGGTTCTTCTTCATCACTTGATATATTGTTCAGTATTGGTCTGGTCACAATATTTCTCTTGCCTTTTCTCTCCAACTGATGTCTGTCTTTGTTCACAATGCGTCTTCCATCACTTAAATCATTGACTATTTTTCTTTTCACGACGTCCCTTTTTCTGCTTTTTATTTCTTGTGCTTTTTTTTCATTTTCTTTTTCGCAGAGATATTTCAGGAAGGGGCTCTCGGTTAATACATCTTGGTATTGACCAGATTTACGTTTGGTAGATTTTCTTACATTACTCTGAGGTACCGGTGCCAATTCCATCAGGATTCCTTCAATAGATTCATCTTTAGAACCAGATGCCGATGGTTCTTGGACATCATGATGATCGTAAGTTGCAGCGTCAGGAACATTAACATTAGCAGGTAAAGATGTAGAAGCAACGTCAGGTTTATTAGTAGAACCAGGCACATCCTCAGGCACATCTGTGATTGCACTAGGCAAAAATGCATGCTCCTGAAAAATGTCACGATTTATAGATGATATTTATTTACCTGAGGCTTATTGAATGCCTCTGCCCGTGCAAGAGACGTAGCGTCTGGAAGACGTAATAATAATTTCGTTGGCGAAAACCATGCAATCATCCTTTGCCAGCCATTTTGGTCACTTTATTGAACGGATGATTAATCTTTATTTTCTCTGCAATGCTATAGGCTAGCTTGCATAAGTCTGCTCTTGTCACGCCAAAAAAAACCGGGATTCAAGATACAGAATGTGGGCAACTATTGCAGTCTGCATATCTTCGTTTAAAACTGTTGCCAGGGAGCCCAAATGTTTTTTTGCGTCAATGGCAATTTTATTTTTATTATCTGCTCGACGTCGTAGTGTTGAGAACGGTACATGAAATGTATTGCTTGCTTTAAGTCAACCCATTTCGGAATTTCGGACTGTCTCCAAAGCTCTTTGCATGTCTTCCTCACTCCAACTATTTTGGTTAGACTTCCTTTTATATGAATAAACCATCTGCAAAAAAACTATATATGTACCTTAACCTGAAAAACAGACGGGCAAAATGGCATAGTATGTTATTTTGCCCGCCATAATGCTATGCCATTTTGTCCGTTTTGTATTTGCCGACTAATGATAGTTGAAAAAAATTAATAATGGAAATAAACACACTTTTTATTGAAGGTCACATGCAGCGTATAAAAAATAATTACCAAAAAGTGAATTCAAAAAGCTCTATAACCTTAATTTAATAAATTATTGAATAAAACTTAAGGTGGGTACACATATGCTCCGAATACCGTCTCGAACCCCGTCGCGTACAGCGACGTGATCAACAAAAGTTCGCGACGTTGTTACAGGGGGCATTGAAATAAGTAAGAAACCGAACACCGCTCCGTACTTTGTACCAAACATTTTAGCGTTCCAGCAGTAATTGAGTTGAATTCGCATGTGCAAGATGGATGTTGCTGCAGCAGCCTACATTCTTATGCATTATTCAGTTAATAAAACGAAAAATATTCGTGAAAGGAGATGGTCCATTCCATTTTGATGCACTTAACTTTAAAAACACCGCCAACCTTCAAAATAACAGACTGACTATTTTGAATGACTGGAGATTCGATAAAAGATTCGCAAGCTAGTCCAAACATGAATTCGCGGTGTACATTGTCGCGCTCAAATTTCTTTTGATGCGTAGGTATTTTACCGACAACCGATGGATCGCTTCGATGTACGTTGTTGACGCGTCGAGGTACGGTACGCGGTTGCATGACTCCGTCCACACTTAAGAACGCGACGGGGTTCGAAACGGCATTCGGAGCATATGTGTACCCACCTTTACATTGACGCATCGAACTCGACCAGCACTTATTCACAAATACACCAATCTCGTGGCCGGCCGTTAAATTAGGTGCACGAGACTTAATGTGGACAGTGTTGCCACTGTTTATAATAAGTATCCAGAATTGCGGTGACGTAGAACCGTTAGCTTGACTACGAGAACAAAAAACCATTTTGCCCGCCTATGCCATTTTACCCGCTCTTCCCCATCGGATTCATCCACTTCGGAAATCGTTCTCAAAATACAAACATTAATAATGTTTAATTAGTAATTATTAATGTTTGTATTTTGAGAACAATTTCCAAAGTGGAAATTGAAACATAAATAAACTTATTTTTACGTTTAATTGTGGCCTATTCCCAATAAAATAGTATCTACTTTAAAATTCCACAAGAAAATAGCTTCAGAACAATATTGATTTGCTATAACCTCAAATTTTATTTTTATGTTTGTATTAAAAATTTATACCTAAGTTTCATCATGGAATTTCAATTTAATTTAGGTATCAATCTCGGAATTTAAATTGAAGAAGAATTAAAAAGGTAAATTAAAAAGGTAAAAACACATATTGCTATAGTGGCACCTGCTGTAGATCATCCTATACATCCAGGTTGAGGCACCGGGCCAACTCCTCGGTACTCATAAAACACGTACAATGTTAAGAAGCCTAACCAAAGCCCCCGAACAAAAGATTGGAAACACAGTAGACGAAAACAGCAAAGAAAACGGTTAATGAATTTTTGTACATGGAATGTGCAAGGTATCTCCCGAAAAAACTCCAGAAATCATGTCAGAACTCAAAAATGCAGAGAGATATATCGCGGTGCTTACAGAAACTAAAAGGAAGGGTATGGGTTCTGAAAAGTGGGGTCACTATGACCTATTCTATAGTGGAGTAACTAAAGACCAAAGAACACAAGAAGGTGTTGCTATTGTTATTCGCAAAACTTTAAGAAGACATAACCTTTTGGGAAACAATTAATCAGAGATTGATAAAATGAACATCGCGATAAAGGTAAGCAGAATAGCCATACTAAGTGTATATGGAATTAATGAGGACGCATTGGTCAACAGTAAAGATGCATTTTTCGGACAACTGAACGATGAAATTATAAAAGTAGGAACATCTAGGGAGATCATACTTCTAGGAGACTTCAACAGCAGAGTTGGATGGGAATTGAAGAACAAAGTGGTAGGAGCACACAGTGAAAATACCAGAAATAATAATGGAACCAGATTAATAACATCATGCACACAAAATAACTTAAAAATATTAAATGGATTTTATCCACATCGCGATATACACAAATACACGTGGATACAATAGACCAGAAATCTGAAATCTATAATAGATTATAGCATTGTAAGACAGAGAACTACAATTAAAATACAAGATGTGCGAGTAGCCAGAGGGCCATCATGTGGCACCGATCATCATCTGCTAAAAGTTAAAACGGTACTCCCAAACAGATACGAAAAAGAAAAAGAGCACATCGAATCAGTTCAAATCAGTTAATAAAACAAGTAGGGTACAACCTAGACAGTTTAAACCATGAGTATGTAAAGCTACTGTATAAAAAACGATTAGACCAAAAATTAGAAATGGGTAGTTTTGAAAATACCGAAGAACACTACAAACACATCAAAAGGTCGATTCATTTAGCAGCAGAAGAAGCACTGGAGAAATGTGACGAAAACCATAAAGGAATAAAACCGTACTGGTGGGATGAAGAAATAGAGAAGGAAATTAGAGATAAACGTCGGAAATACCAAACATTCTTAACAATAAAAACAGAAAACGATAAAACAATTTACAACGAAGCACAAGCCAAAGTAAGAAAAAAGATAACTCAAAAAGGAACGAATCATGGGAACAGAACTGCCAAAAGATCAACACCTATATAGGAGGTAGAGGAAGCACAGAGAGTTGGAGATTGATTAAAAGTATGAGAAATAATAAGAAAAAAGACGTTATATCACCAATAACAACAGAAAAATGGGAAGAATATTTCAAAAAATTCATAAAAGAACAAAGACCAGAATTTACTAACATGAAAGACAACACGATCGGTATACGTCTAAATTCATCACCATTACAAATAAGTAAATCAAAGATGAAAGAAATAACCAAATCCCTGAAAAATGGAAAATCCTCTGGTCCTGGTGACATCCCTATAGAATTAGTGAAAGCCGGTACAGACAAACTCCAGGAACAGTTAAGAAAACTCTTTCAAGACTGCTTAAATGGGGCCGAAATACCAAAAGAATGGAAATTATCTATCATGTCAACTATCCACAAAAAGGGCAGCAAGGATCAGTGTGAAAATTACAGAGCAATTGCGATAAACAGCACAATAAGTAGGATGTATGGGAAACTTATTAAGAACAAAATAGAAAATGACTATAGAGATTACGAAGTGGAGGAACAAGCTGGTTTTAAAGCTGGGCGATCCACAGTAGACCACTTGTACTCTATTACGCAAGTTATTGAGAAAAAAACAGCCGTCAATAAAGAAGTTCACCTGGTGTACGTAGACTTACAAAAAGCATATGACAGTGTACCTCTCAGTAAACTATGATCAACCCTACAGCAAACCAACATTAAGCATGGTCTTATCAAAGCAGTCCAAAGTCTGTATAATGGAACGACTGCAAAAATTAAAACTGGATCAAGGATATCAGGGATTTAAGGTCACGAAAGAACTAAAGCAGGGTTGCTGTATTTCGCCTACCCTTTTCAAAATTTATCTGGAACAAGCACTTAAGCTGAGGAAAAGAAAATGTAATGGCATGGGAATCCCTCTCAATGACGAGACTACACTGTACACCTTATGTTTCGCTGATGACCAAATACTGATTATTGACCAAACAATATCTAAAGCGAACAAACAACTCATATACAACACCATACTTAAAAGTGTAATCACATATGGCACTGAAGTTTGGCCAATGAAACAAAGAACAGAGAAACTGTTACTAGCAACAGAAATGGTCTTCTGGAGAAGAAAAGCAGCCATATCAGGAAGAGATCGGATACCAAATGAGAGAATACGAGAAATGATGGGAGTCAAGCATACAATAGTTGATGGCATAAAAACAAAACAGTTAATATGGTACGGTCATGTACAGAGAATGCCAGATGACAGGATTCCGAAACAGATTTGTACATGGACACCACAAGAGAGAAGAAAAAGAGGAAGGCCGAGAAGCTGGAGAGAGAGAGAGAATTGAAAAAGAACTAGAGGAAAAAGAAATCCCTCCAGGCCTATGGTTATATAGATAAGAATGGCAGTTAGGAGTCGGAAGGCGTCGGAGAACGCTGTAAACCGATAGTAGTAGTAGCAAATGATTAACTTAAAATAAATTAAATTTTCCTGAAAATTCTATAAAAATGAAAAGAATACTCTAAATGTATTCATCAAGGCTCTTCAGAATTATCCCGTCCAATCCTGATGTTTTTATGTCAATAAAGATTTTTAATATTACGTAAGACTTTATCATCAATACCTACCTGCAGTATATTTTACTCGATCAAAGGCCTTCTAAAAGCCAATAAAACACATACAAACTGGATTGCCGATATCTCTGTACCAAACCTAACTACTAAATCATGATTATCTGGTTCCAAGGTTATTAAGGAATCCAAATTGTGTGTCACTAAGCTGCTCTTCTACTTTTTGGTACAGCCTTGAGTGCAAAATTCGAAGAAATATTTTTAAAACATGGCTCATTAAGCTGATGGTACGATAGTCACTACATCTCCGCACATTTGCTTTTAGCAAATGTGTGGAGTATATAGCCAGTTTCATAATTTTTATTAAAAATATGAATGAAAGATCTTTTACCTGAACTTTCGAGGAGACCTTTTTTATTTCACTGGGTATCTCATCCGGTGACTTTTGGTGATTTCACCCGTAAATACAAGAAATCTTTTACGTAATGAGTGCAAATTCGGTCAATAATGTAAAAACAATTTATTTGATCAAATAGATCTTAACTTACTTTTAAATATTATATCACTAGTGACTCCCTCATTCACAGGTTCATCATGCTCACCTCCTTTTTTAACTTTGTGATACTCTTTTCCAAATTCCTTGTAGAAAAAGTTATAACAATACACTAAATCTGGGACTACACTTCTGTCGGCCAAAACTCTGAAACCAAAAAAGGCAATATTTCAGATATTATGCAGTTTATATAAAAATAATATCTATCTATATAAAAGGCTATGACGACAAGTCACAATGGTTATCTGGTCAATACAATATAAATTAAAATGCAATATTCATATTTAAAACTGCCCATAAACATAACTTACTTTACGAAGATAAAAATAAAAAACCAACAACTCGGATTATGTTGTAAATTTGTATTTTATTTTAAAATTAAGATTGTGGATATTGTGGATGAAAGACAAGTTACATTTTCCTACTATTCTTTATATATTTTTTACTTTATATGCCCTGAGGAGGTTTTAACCCCCAAAACCCCCTGGGTGCGCCACAGGCTCTCCGTATTAGAACTTGCAAACTAAAAAGTGCTTCCCTCTTTCCGGATTCTGCTCTGAATCCAAATTGAACTTCACTCAGGTGTTCTTCTAATTTGTTGTATATGCGCAAGTGAATGATAGTAAGGAGTACTTTAACTATGTGGCTTATCAAACTAATTAATCTATGTACTTCACATTTTCTAGAGTTGGCTTTTTTAGGAAGTGGAATGAATCTTGATAGTAGCCAGTCTTTTGGTAAGTAACCAGTCTTGTTGATGTTGAATAGCTTCGTAAAGTTGTGATTTGGTGTGCCTCTAATAGCTTTAAAATTTCACCATGCACCTCATCAGGTCCTGGTGATTTCCCATCTTTAATCCACTTACTTAATGGCCATAGTTACTTCTTCTGTTGATATTTTTGGGCCATTGTTTATTTCAGTTGGACTTCGTGCTGCATCTTCAAATAATTCTTGCATATGTATATTCTTTCCATCTTCGTAATTTGTGAATTGTAGTTAAGTGTACTGAAACCTAGTTATGATCAAAATTATTATTATATTGTGGCCAAGAGTCACCTAGTTCCTATTATTTCGGTTGCTATGTGAGTTGTCACAAAATTGTATAAAGATGTTATTTGAAGCATTGACATATGTTAACTAATACCTTTATATAATAGTGGAAATGTACATCTTTCCTATATTGTGAAAATCAGGAAAGATTTATACCAAATCAGAATTTCAAATCATAACATATTCAGTACCCATGCATCCCAAACAGTCATGATGGTTTTAATAACTTTTGTGCATTCAAAAAAATTGTGTCTTTAGGCTTTACTTATAAAGGAATTAGTTATTGTGTGGAAATGGAGGAAATACTGTGGAAAAGCCTGTGTCAGTCTGCAAACTTAAACCTATTTTGTGGTAACAAGAAATTTATTAAAATTATCACATTTAAGTACTTACTTTTTACAGTTATCGCCATGTTCCATGACTGCATCTGTTGTCAGTACATCATGTGCAGCAGATGGTGTCAATCCAAAATTGAACAGCTCCCTTAACCTTTCTTTAATGTTTTCAGACACATCTCGATATTTTAATGACTCTGCTGTTATTCCTGTTGGGTGATTATGAAAATTATTGAGGGTTATTTGAGTAATTAATGATTCATCATAAACTGACTTTTGAAATCTAAAATATAATATACTAGATAAAGGAATTTTACATTATTTGACTACTTCTTACATTTTTACTACTAAGAATGCATCACAATTGGTACTTTTTGACTTCCTCTTGCCATTAGACTGATATCTTGTGGCACTATGTTGGCACCTATAAACAATTTTAAAAAAGCATCTATAGCGTTTGAGCCTTGGATTTGTTCTAAAAATTCTCCATTCCACATAAGATTGTTCACTGAACGCTTTGACCCAATCCTAAAAATAATGGCCCTACAATATTAACTTTTACATAATTACGTTTTTGGATAAAAAAAGTAGATGACCCAATATAGAGCTACCACAAGTAAAATATTACATATTATTTGCACATTTTTTCATGTAGATGATGAATCTGTTATCCAAATTATTCTAATGATCATAGTTTGTTTAATTACATCATGTTTTCTAACTTTAATTTCATATAAATATATAATAAAAATAATAAGCTGCAGAAACTTGCTTGAACTTGTGCATCTACAGCTAAATAGATTTCAAGCACATCTTAACCTTTCAGACAGGCATGGTGATGTAAGGTGGTATATTACAATATCTAACTATCAAATTTTACAAATAAATGTGTTTTCTCAGAACAATTTTCTGAAATCAAGCATAGTCCTTTTTGTTGAATTTAAGACAAAAGATACAATTTTTCTAACAGATAACAATAAAATATAGGCCACAATAACAAAAAAAAAACAAAAATTGGGATACTAAAACAATGCAAACTAAAAAAGGAAATATTCAAAAATTAAAGTTTCATTACACAATATTAAGTTTGAACTTTATTTTAAATAGTATTACATACTTAATATTAAAGTTGCAAATATGAAACTGTTTAGAGGTTTCATCAAGCAGCATATTAAAACTACATTATGCCATATGTAAATAATGATGCAAAACATTATTTTATATTATATATAAGAGTGAGATGAAGTTGAACAGATAGATAAAGAGCTTAATTTATAATCTGATCCATGAAAACTAAAAATAATACTTCAGAGTTCAGATGTGTAAACTTCTTTAATTTAATAACGTAAACAATTTTGATACTTCTTGTTTAAACTCGAAAACAAAATTTTAAGAATAATGTATAAATAAAAGAAAAACAACTAAGTATCATACTTTGATAGTTAATGAGAATGTTCATAGTCTTGATGAAATGAAAATACAAAAAATGAAAAAACTCCAGTTGGTTTAATGAAGCATTATTAACACCAGAGCTATTAAGAATTTCATGAATAGAAAGAATCACATGTGGCCAACTATGTTAAAAAGTAAAGAAAAGCAGCTTCTACTGACTTCTTCTTCAAAAAATTATTATAGTAAATTATTATTATTAATATTTTAGCAATGCCTGCAACACTCCAAACTTTTGCCAAAATGAATAATCAGAATAGACAGAATAATTCAGTAAGCCAAAGTGCAAAATTTGGAACATAAAAAATAAGGACTTTCGCAGACACAGCTACGATATTATCAATGTTTCACAATCTAATTACCCTAATATCACTCTCAGTTTTTAAAGCATTGCACTGAAATTGGTAAACATTTGGTTTGAGAGTTTTAAAGTTGGTGTACTTTTGATCTGGCAGAATCATCGCTAAGTTGCTTAGTACAATACCTTAAAAAAGATCAGATTACAAAAAACTAAAACAAATAATTAATTTCACCTACTGTCAATAACGGACATTTTCAAAACAAAATTTAGTTTAATTTTAATAACATAAGAGCAAACTAGTGTCGAGAAAAGTAAACAAAGTTAACCACAAAGTTAACCGTTCTTGAAGTTTGCATTAAAGAGGTTCTTCTTCTCTTCTTTTTGGCGCTGCACTTAGGACTACTGTTTAGAGCCTGATCCACTATTCTGTGCAGACTTGCGCAGTTCATATTTTGTATTCATTTCTGAATGTGAAATGAGGTTTATATGTATTGTTGGTTGCGAACATTTTTTTCATAAATTAATAATATAATACTTCAATCCATCTATTTAACCCGTTTGATAATTTAAATAATATTTAAATTATAAGAATAACCCTAAAATTAATAGTAAATAATAGAAAATCAAAATTAAAGGTTTTTTAAAAAGTATTTTAAAAAATACTTTTGCGCATTTTTTTCAATAAAAATTTGTTATTTTATATACAGGATGTTGACTGATGTTATTATATCAATTGCTATGATACCAACTTTCTTATTTTAAATGAAACATTGGTTATATTATAAAATTTTTGGATTCTGTACAAAATTCCCAGAACTTTGATAGATTGCATGTTATAGTTTTAATTAACTTATTTTAGGATACAGGATCACAGAATAATAAGCAATCAGAAGGGCCACTCTCAGATGCCGCCTTTGAAGTTTTTCAGCACGCGCGCCATGTTTTAGGAGGACACAGACATATGATTTGTGTGGTTATGTAATTGTTTATATTTATGTTTAATTATATTATATTTATGTTATTATATTTAACAATGTTAATATAATTGTATAGTATGTCTATGATTGCCGTAAGTCAAATAAACCTGGTTAATTTTTCCATACACACCACATAAACAACACTAATTTCTTTAAAATCCTCCTAAAACATGGCGGAACGTCTGCGCGGAGGAGATGCGCGTACTTAATTTTCCGTGGAGAGTGGGTAGGTATTCTGTTTGTTTATTATTCTGTGACAGGATGGTTAATGAATATATCACTCTCTACCTGGTGTTCCATCTAAAATAATAAAGTTGGCATCAGTATTTACATGACATCACACTCTGTATAACACATTTTTATCGGAAACATATGCGCAACAAAAAATTAAAAAAAAAAAACAGAGCTTTTCGAGGAACTATTCATTATTTAATAAATAATTTTTATATAACTGTGCTGAATAATGTATTTCGAAACGGGGAAATTATTCATTTATAGATATTACAAAGAAAAGGTCTCAGGCCCTCACTGATCTCGGCAAGCGCTAATTCTGAGATGGCTTCACTGTATAAATTGAATAACAAGGGTGATAAAATACACCGTTGGCGGACCCCACGGCGAATCTGGATATCCTTTAGCGTTGGTATTAGCTATTACAAATTCTTCCATCTGGCAAAATTGTATCAAACGGTCACCACGTTCATTTCTATTTCCTAGACCATATTCCCCCACATATCCATCCACTCTTCTCTGGCCAACTTTGGCATTGAAGTCGCCCATTACTATTGTAGTGTGATGTTTCTTCATTGATTTTAAGACTTGTTCCAAATCATGGTAAACAGTTCGATATCGTCGTCATCTTTATCTGCCGTAGGAGCATAAACTTAAATAAAATTTACTATACCTTTTTTAGACTGTAGTTGTATTGATAATATCCTATCAGAATAAGGAGTAAAACTTATCACAGAGTAATTGACCTTTTTTGCAACTAAGATAGCAACACCATTGGCCACTGTACGTCACTTATACCTAAAACATCAATTTGAAGGTTTTCCATTTCAAGCAGTACGTTCGCTAATTTACCACTTCCATATAAACTTCTGACATTCTAGGTTGCTATTTTCAATATCTTAAGTCCACAGGGATTTCTCTGGTTTACGACCTGGGAGGCCCTGTGATCTACAGTTATTCCTCCCCTGCCGGATCTTGGATTCCGTGCTCCATAATCAGTAAGTTTGTTTACTCTACTTGTCATTTGCCATTTATGACTTTACTAGGGGTACTCTAAGAGTCTTTAATGCAGTGGTTCCGCGTTGCCTTCTGCATCCTTACGCCGTTGACATATTTTTCGATTCATCCGCCTTTAAGACCAGTTTCCCAACCCTTGGACAAAAGAGTGCCCTTCCACTTATTAACTCATCCGACCGCAGCCGTTGGTCATAAGTGGGGGATTGCTTATACCGGCAATTATTCGGTGAATTACCTGTTGGTCCACGGGAGGTATTTTATTTCCCTCCTACCCACCGGTAAACCGGGTCGGGCATTCCCCTATCCGCCACCTGGGGACGCGCTCTCTAGAGGTTACTGACATTAAACATTACCAATTGCTTCAAGCGTTGGTTCTGAGAGAACGGTTTTTTTTCAAAATTATCTTTTAAAAAAATTATTTTTTATTTAAAATATTTTTTCTATGGTGTACAGATTCTTGGTAACTCGATTTTGTCAGTTTTCCCCACTCTACGAGGGGGTTTTAGGAGAAAGCCAGAGGTTAAAGATGGTAAACTTTTTTACATATTTTTTGGCGTCCTAAAACTGACATTCTCAGTAAAATACAGCTTATTCTTATGAATTTTAGAGGTTCAGTAGCATATTGGTCTTTGACGACTGGAGTAAAATTCAATATAGTCATTGCTATTTCCAGCCTTCCATTTTAGTAGCAGAAGTAAAAATACTAACTGTCTAACTTAACTAAATAAATAAATTCTATTACAAATAATATTAAACAAATAATTTATTTACATATTACTTAACCGTTACAGATACAATTCGAATATCATCATATGGCTTATCAGTTTTTACATTGGTCTTAACATTACTAATATTTTGAACAACTTCCATCCCTTTAACAACCCTTCCAAATACTGTATGTTTATTATCCAACCAAGGAGTAGGAGTTAATGTTATAAAGAACTGACTTCCATTTGTATTGGGCCCTGCATTTGCCATAGAAACTGTGTAGGGTCTATCATGCTTTAAGTGTGGTCGTAGTTCATCTTCAAATTCACCACCCCATATACTTTCCCCACCTGTACCGTTACCAGTTGGGTCACCTAAAATAATAATAAAAAATAACAATTAGTCACACGCATTCAAAAAAGTAAGTAAGTTCGTGTAACCTTCTGGCTAAGGTCTAGTGTTAAGCTTTTTTTTTATATAAGCATCTTGTTAAGCCAGTAACATAGCCACTAAACTACGGCTGTCACAGTGTACTGAAGGCTACACGCATTCAAATTTTATGACTAAGGCGTCTTCTAGACCAGGGGTTCCCAATTTTTTTTGGTCTTGGAACCCTAATTGTAGTTTGAATATTTTTCATGTAAGACTGTAAAAAAAGGAAGAAATTATGAATGAAAAGTAATATAAGGAATACAAAATATTTATTATACAAAGATAAATACAATTAAGTAAATAACTATAACTATTTCATTGTAAAGAATGACATTTTTTCACACATTTTCTTATAATAGTATTAAAATTAGGCTTAATGTCTTGACAATTGAATATGAAGATCTGGAGCTGCATCTAGCCTATTTATGAACTTGTTTTTGGTACCAAAAAAAGTCCATAAAAAAACCAGTCTCGCATCGGCAAGTCGTCACAAAAAGAAGTAGAAATATGATAGCTTTCTCAACGATTCTAATTCGAATTTTTGTTTTAGAAGGGATGAACACCTAATGTCGATCAAATTCTCATACTCTGGCATAGTTAGCATCGATGGCTTATTATGTTTTGTGAATGGATTCTGAACCCAGTCGATGTCTTGTAACTTCTCTGGGAAATCATCTTTCAAAGATTTTTCGAGGTTAATTAAATGTTCAATTATGATTTTTCCACATCTGAGGTTACTCCTAACTCATTCTCTCCCAGGAAATTATTTAAAGGAGTAAAGCATTGATAATTTTTTTGTTCCACTCATTCTATCTAGAAGCAAATTTTGTTTTTAAGGGATGATATTTTGTCTTTTACTGTAAATGTGGTTACTGTTCTTCCTTGTAGGGACTGGCAGAATACGTTGAGTTTATTGAATATATCAGCTAAGTAAGCCAATATCATAAACCATTGCTCATCATGCAATAGTTCAACAAGCGTACTAACAGATACAGAAATGGGTTGTTCAGCAAAGAGTATCGTAATTCGTTGCGCAATTCAAATAATCTTGATAAAACTTTTCCTTTTGCAAGCCATCTTACTTCCGTGTATAGCAAAAGTGATTGATGCTGACTTCATACCTCTTCACACGCATTTTTAAAAAGCCTCGACTGGAGTGGATGTGATTTAACGTAGTTACCAATTTGTACGGCTTGATCGAGAACTTTATTTAAATCCGATGGCATTTTTTTCGAGGCAAGGGCATGGCGATGCAGAACGCAGTAACTGCTACTACAATTAGGTGCAATATTCTTTATTCTTGTTACTCTTTCTTCTTTATGTGCCGTCTTCTACCGAAGGTTGGCGACCATCATACGATAGGTTTCTCTGTTTTGTGCCGCATGAATTATGTTCGCAGCTTCTGGTATTTGAAACCATTCTCTCAAGTTTCTCAGCCAGGATTTCTTCTTTCTGCCCAAACCTCTTCTACCTTCAATCTTGCCTTCCACGATAAGCTGTAGCAGACTGTACTTATCAGTACGGAACACATGGCCCAGGTATGACGCTTTCCTCCTTTTAACAGTTGTTAACAATTCCACCTCTTTACCCATTCGTCTTAATACCTCTGTGTTGGTCACTCTGTCTGTCCAAGGTATTCTCAGTACGCGTCGATACAGCCACATTTCTAGAGCCGCTAACTTCTTTATAGTTGCTGCTGTTAACGTCCACCCTTCTACTTGCGGTTGCTTAAGAGCTTTCTCATTTTGATGAATTTGGATCTTGCTATTTCAATTCGGATCTTAATCTCTACTTCTGTAGAGTCCCACTTGTCATTTACTGTATATCCCAGATATTTAAATCGGTGTACTCTTTCAATACGTTCGTCTTCAATATGCAGGTCGATATGTTGAAATTTTTTTTTTACTGATCACCATAAATTTAGTTTTCTTTCTATTGATCTTCAGTCCAAATCGGCTGCCAGTTGTATTAACTCTATGTAGCATCATCTGTAAATCTTCGATGTTATCGGCCAGTATAATAGTATCATCTGCATATCGAAAATTACTTATTGGTACGTCATTAATCTTGATGCCCTCATTCTACTCTTCTAGTGCCTCTAGAAATATTTGTTCCGTGTACAGGTTGAAAAGCAGTGGCGAAAGAATACAGCCCTGTCTTACCCCTCTAGAAATGGTTATGTTTTCACTCACCATATGTCCATTCTTCATGTGGGCTGTTTGATTCCAATATAGATTTTTTATAATCTGGATGTCCTTAGTGTCAAGTCCTGAAAGACGTAATAGTTCTATGAGTTTGTCATGTTTGTCATTCTTGTTACAGTTCCAGTCAATTTGGTGTTTACGTCATATAATTATCAATTACTTTAAAAATTTCTTCTCCTTATTGTTCTGAAGCTATTTTCTTGTGGCATTTTAAATTAATTACTATTTAACTGGGAATAAGCCAAAATTAAAGGTTAAAGTACGTTTATTGACGTTTCAATTTCCACTTCGGAAATCGTTCTCAAAATAGAAACATTAGTAAATTAAACAAATTTTGTTTTTCTGTTACTTTCTTCTCCTGTTGTGTTGGTCTCCAAGGGTGCACAGGGAAACAAATCTTCAATTGATCCTTTGAAGAGGTATCTCATGAAAACAGGCAGTATAGATAACCCGGTGGCATCTGTACTTTCGTCAAATTGTAAAGCAAACATCTCACTGTCTTTCAACCTACAGATTAATTCATCTTCAATTTGGTATGAAATCTTATGAATTCGATCAGATGATGTTATTGGAACACTGAACTGCTGCAACTTTTTTTGCTGCATCTTCTCCGAGTACGCAACTGACGATATCTGAAATACGTGGCTTGATTAAATTCTCTGCGATCGTGTGTGATTTACCAGCACCAGCAATTCTGTAATTTAGCAGGAATGGAGCTCTGTAAAGCAGCCATACCGGTTTTATGTATATATATATATATATATATATATATATATATATATATATATATATATATATATATATATATATATACGCACATATATACGCACCAGTGGATAGCTCCTCCTTATATAGGAAATTTACATTGAATAGGTCCTCCAATGTGGCGGGTCCTCCGTATACGAAGGAATTATCGCAATCATTATAACAGAAGTCGAAACATAATTCTAAACCATTGAGAAATTTCAGATGGGTGAGTTATTGCGTGTTTTTGTACGTTTGAATATTTTAGTTCAATATGATCGCCACATTACTTGTTGTGTCGCCAGTGGCGGCGTATATTTCGTTACGTATATTCCAATTATAGTTTACCGACCTTAGTTCTTCCTATTTTTATATTACGGTGGTTTAGTCCTCCTCTGGAGTAATGATTCGAAAACTACTTAATAGTTTTCCAATCTTTCTTTAAACTTTAAAATATATATCTATTTCAACAAAAAATCTTAATCAAAGTAGAGAGGTTTTTGGTCACAATAAAACTAATGATAAAAACCAAAAATAACTTCAAATGTATTCTATTTGTTTTATTGTATTATCGAATCTGATTATTTAAGGGCTATATATACTATTTATAATCATTTGTAAATTTCTAACATGGGCTAACGAAAAAAAAAAACATGTATCTATGTTCGTTATAAATCTTTAATTTTAATAGTTTTAAAAACAAATAATAAAAATATGAATAAAACTGAAAATATAAACACAAATGAAAATACAAACAAAACTGAAAATTTAAAGGAAACTCAAGACATTCAATACTTTTTATATTCATTTTGAATGAATACCTTTATTTTGAGCCAATTTTTATTTTTTAATAGATCAGATCGTCACATTCTGATTTTTTGGGGAGTCTCTTTTGCTTAATGTGGGTTTTAAAATACATTTTGGCTAGTTTCTTTTAAGTTTCTGTCCACGGAACTAAAACTCTTTTTTGTTTTTTGTCTTCATATCTATTATTCCCTGTTTTTCATTATTACAACTTTCTGGACCTTTTGATTCAATAACATCATTGGTTTGATTTTCTTGTTCCTTAAACACTTCGTTATTATGCCCATTATCATCTTTTATAATGTCTTCTTCCAAATTTATCTCTATTTGTTCTAAACCTTTTCCCTGCTCTACCTTTCTCCATTAACAGAGCAACTTAGAGATCTTTACAGTTTAATAAATGTCATCAGGGAGTCGATATGAGGATCGATGATTTCTAATGTGTGTTCCATAAATGAAGCCAGTTGCTCCATGTCATTTTCCGATATTGTAAACAACTGGGTTAGCGTTGCTAGATGTTTTTTAGCAACCTTGTACATGTAAGAGCACTAGGATTTTTAGCTCCGCATAATTTAGCATACTTTGACATTACTTTATACCATCGAATTGGTTTATCAAATTTTGATTTACCAAAAAGATAAAAGTTAGGTATTTTTAAAAAGTAAATCTCTACATTTTGTAATCATTTCTAAGTGATCTTGTACATCCTTACTTCCTAGGACGGCTACACCACGTCCCCTCTTACTTCTTATTACTATTCTTTTAAAAAATTTTATTAAAATTCTTTCGGTTTCTGAAATTGCTTCAGAAAATTCTTCATAATATTGATTATCTTTAGCACTAATTATGTATAGTCATTCTTTCTAATTCACCAGGGCGCCTTCTATTTAATAAGATTAGACGGCAATATATAGTTTCTAACAGAAACATGTAAGAATTAATATTATTATTATGTTTCTGTAATTTATCACAACATTCATTTGTGATTTAGAGGAGATAGTTTTTCAATAGCATAAGGTCACTTGCTAGTGGTATTAACGTCACTTTGTTTAATTTTTTCATGTCGTAAATCATTTGCAGCTTGACTGGAAATATCATATTTCCAATTTACTTATATTATTTGTATTTTAGTGTCTTTATTTTAGCAATGACACTTTTAACAGTAAACTCAGACTTTTTCGCATTATGCA